AATATCAGAGAGAGAATGAATGGTCAGTGTTGGCAATGCGCATAAGACGGATGATCGGTGAGTTAAGATAGTAGTGTGAGGAAGAGAAAGGTATATGAAATGGAACAGATGATCGTGTACAGCGAGAGGGGACCTTCAATGAGACACGGGATAGTAATTCAGGACTATCAATTTTAGATGTAAGAAGATTGAATAGAAATGTCAGGTTAGCTGAAAGACGACGATCGATGAGGCTTTCTAAGGAAAAGAGGCGTTGGATTGGCGTGTAATCGTGAGGTGGACAGACTATCTTTAGTTTGTAGCAGCTTGACGGAGGAATTTTCTTTGAACCCTTTCTATCATGTTACGTGCGGAAACAGTGGACGGGTCCCAGAGGACGGAACCATACTCAAGGATGGTGCGGACTAGGGAGCAAAAAAGAGTTTTTAGAGGGGAGAGCAAGTGGAAGTCAGAAGAGACACGGTTTATGAAACCAAGCAGTTTAAGAGTCTTACAACATATTATCTGAATATGCATATTAGGGCACAGGTTCCGTGTGAGAGTAAATCCTAAATCCTTTACATAATTATTACAGGTTGTTAAAGCGGTATTGTTTACGGTGTAAATATGTTCGATTACAGCATTAATACGACTAAAAGTCATTACTGAACATTTAGCTATATTAAGAGCCAGCCCCAAAGATTCACCCCACGCAACTAATCGCTGAAGGTCGTTATGAAGAAAGTGACAGTCAGAGATGGATTTTATGCGGAGAAAGATTTTCATATCATCAGCAAAGATAAGAAGTTTGGCATGCTGGAGGACGGAGACCGCTGAGTTTACGAATAGGGCAAACAGGAGTGGAGAAAGAACAGCACCTTGTGGTACACCTGAGGAGGGAGTAAAGCGGTCCGAAGAGGTGGAATCAACAGTTACCCATTGGATCCTATTTGTAATGTATGAGCGAAACCAGGAAAGTAATGGTTCACCGATTCCTATGGAGTCTAGAGTTGACATAAGATGATTGTGATCAACACGGTCGAAAGCCTTGGAGAAATCTGTGTAGGTTACATCTACTTGGCAGCTATCTCGAAAAGAATCATATATATATGAATGTAGACTAAGGTTACAAGTAAGAGTTGATCTACCAGGACGGAAGCCATGCTGCTCATCAATTAGGATATGATTCAAGGGTGAACGAATTGAATTAAGAACAAGCGTTTCAAATATTTTGGATAAATGAGGGAGGATAGTTATGGGACGATAGTTTGAAACATCAGTTGAATCACCAGACTTAAGTATGGGTCTAATAGAGCCAAGTTTAAGTGCAGACGGAAAAATACCCGAGTCAATAGAACGCCTAAACAATAACCATAACGGTTCAGCAAGAACAGATCGAAGTTTGTATAAGAAATCACCCTGGATACCATCAGGACCAACAGACTTAACATTGCGAAGGGAACATAAGATTAAACATTATATTCATGTATTAAAGGGTTCGTCCCGTATTGTAAAAAAAAAAAAATAAATAAATAAATAAAAATAAGCATTTGTAGACGTCACTGATCGAAAAATAGGAATTAGGCGGGAGCGGAAAGAGGTAGAATACATAATAATAAGTAAAAAATCGACCTTTTACGTAATAAGGATAATAATGGGGAATTAAAGAATAATAATTTTATTAAGGAGGCCTACAATTCTGCGACGTTACAATTTATATAATATTAGTTTGGCTCCAACCAAAGTTAGGTACCTATATACACTGAATTTATACACTATACAAGGGATGGCCAAACCACGGCTTGAGTTTCAAAATTTTTAACAATATAATAATATCAACAATAATATACAATAATATCTATCATTTTTCTGTTCTTCATATTATTTTTCATAATACTATGCGGCTTCACGGCTATCTTAAACCAGGGGTACGATACTCCGTGAATTGGTCGGATCGGGCGATTGTGGCCTTGAAAATGTACTAAAGTAAACAAAATCTGAATAATGAATACTGAATGGTAAACAAGCCGACCGCTCAGTGTACCCAGCCTACGTGGCAGTAAAAGTTTACTTAATACTACTTTGGGTCTAACTTCACATTGGTAAACGTTTCCGTGTTTTTCGGAGATTCAGATTTCAGATCATAGGTAAACAAGACCCCAATCAGCTGATCGAGTGTCGCTTATACATTGTTCTATGCTTAAACACTGGCCACTCCTGCACTATACAGTTTACTGTTGGCATCGTTAGAGTCAAAATTCTGGGTTAAAAAAAAGATATTTACGAAAAATTGCCTGTTGTTTATTTTTTCAATCGGGAAAACGTTAGTTCACGGCATATACTACCCACGTATATTTAGTCGAAGTCGTAAGTGTTGGCGGCACAGAATTCTTATCTCAACCGTCGTACTGCACTACAATCAACCATCAAATATCAATGTTATGAATTTATAATAAATGTATAGGGTAAAATTAAAGGAGCCGTCACACAGACGCTAATAAAGCGCATGTTGATGACAAAATATAAATACATTTACTGTGGTAACTGACAATAATTTTTAATCTTCAGTTGAGTCTATTTTACCTTGTGTCTGCACCGAAGCCGCTCCTGCTTTGGAATCGCGATTAGCGGCAACGACTTGCGGAGTGTTCGGGACGGGAACAGGTTACCTAGCTATATATATAAATTTATAAAACATGAACTTTCATTGGGCGCAGTGCGCAATATGTATATTTTACAAAATAATGATAATTATAACTATACGACGCCCGGGCAATATACGCGCTACAATTACAATAATAATAATAATACCAATGAAATTATATAGTATAAAGGGCACAACAAATGCGCAATATGCAAATTAATACAAACACAAAAAAATTGAAGAATAATAATATCCAAGATACCGCTGGTGCCTGGTCACAACTGGTGGCGGAATCCCACGACGAAGACGGATATCGATAACCATAGTTTGCGCAACCCCGCGAATTCGCCAAATCAAATTGTAGATTGCTCGACTATGGTGAATCCGCTGACCTAGTGATGATACAATGTCACGAGCCACACGAGAACTCCGCTTTTGAGTCTAATATAATATATGCGAAAGTGCGAGCACGAGTAGTTACGTGCGACGGGTGATGTTGGGGAATCAAACCCGCACACAGTATCAAAAAGGTTGTCGGTCGACACACGACGACAACGTGGTACAACAAAAGCGACCGACACCCACGGTCACGGCGAACTATACCGGACGGTGGTGGTAAAAAGACAAAAACGACGACGACGGACCGCAGAACAACCGGTGGTCAGTGACGCCGGTCGCCAAAAGTTCGCGCAAGCGCACTTCGTCGTCGTAAAACCAGCGGGGTGACCAGACAGGTGTCACACGGACACACTGCTTGTCACAGGCGCAAAAACGACTCTGGTTCGAACACCTTGTGAGTTTGTTGAGAAAGTTTTTGTACAAGCATAAAAAACCATAACAAATCAATTTGTATAGATAGGTAATATATTATTATTGATGATAAATAGTCAATACTAGTAGGTACGTAGTTAGGTTAGGTTAGGGGAATTAAGAAATGTACCCATTACCAATCAAATTTAAAAAATATGTATTTAAATATGAAATTTTTTTATTATAAATTGCATTTTACTGCATATTACTATTATTATTTTTTAATTGTTTAGATAATAAAATGAGTCTGATTATGTGTGTACCTATAACCTGTATTTATATTTTATAAACTGCATATTTTTTACTATATTTTCATTGATAATCAAATAAAGATCTGGTTTAATATATTTACACAATTTTCTAATTTGTATTCTAAAATTATAAGTACCTAATAACATAATAATCTAATAAAAATATTAATTTCAAATGAATACGTTTTTTTTAGTTTAAAGTATACTTTAAGTACAACTTCTTCGTAAGGCCATAAAATAACCTAAACTAACAGCAGTTTAATAATAGGCTTAAAAAATGTAGAAATACAACCATTATGTTTATGTTAAAAGTTGATAGTATAATTAGAGTCAAGTTAACATTGTTTACGCAAGCCGTCGTCAATCTCGTGCCGCTATCAGTGTTGGCGACTCTACCTGTTGGCCGCCGACTAAGCTTGCGTATTCCCCTTTCCGCCCGACGTGTTATCGGCCTGGCTGGCTGTTTTGCTTGTTGTGCCGGCGCGCCAATGTTTTTACAACTAGTTGCCCTATCTCCCTTGCCATCGGACGTCGTTACCTTTGACGGTTAGATTAGGTTCTGGAGACCTTGTGGGTGTTAAGTGTTGTTTCGACCTTTTTATTGCGCCGGTCTGTATTCACGCTGTGGCGTCGCGAGTCGTAAACAACGCACCGTGAGCCACCTGGGTTGTTTACAATATTACAGTGAATATAGGAAAGGCCCATGTTCTGGAATGTTCGACAACTATCTGATTAGAGTAATATCATTGTTATTTGTTGTATATTTTATTTATAGATTTTTCCGTATGATATTGCACATTTTTGTCGTAAGAAATTGAATGGCATTGAAAAATATGAAGTTCTTGTGCATAATTGGATACCTGATATAGACTTCAAGTTTCCGACTTCTGGCAAACGAAATTTGAAATTTCAGCATTCTTGGTTACGCTCATTTGTGTGGTTAGTGTATTCTGCTGCAGAAGACTACTGCCGTTATTGTGTCTCGTTTGGATCAAATTCTGTTGGAAAAGGGGGTCATCAGAACACAAATTTATTGGTTCAGACTGCGTTTCAAGATTGGAAGAAAGCACTTGATAATTTTAGAGAACACAAAAAAAAAAATATATCACCTTGACGCCATGGAGGATGGACAAAATTTTAAGTTGATTTACGAAACCCGGAAGAGTGAAGTGATCAGCGAAATTGACAAAGGGCGAAAAATACAACAACTTGAAAACCGAAAAAAGTTAATTCTGAACGTCCGAGCCGTTTTGCTGTGTGGCAGGCAAGGATTATCATTAAGAGGTCATCGAGATCAGAACTCTTTATAATTGAAAATGCCTGTAGAAAATGACGGAAATTTCAGAGCGTTACTTCGTTATGCCCTTGACAGCGGTGATCAAGGTTTGGCCAATCATTTAAATACTGCTGGTGCTAATTCAACATATTTAAGCTTTCGCATTCAAAATGAAATAATTGATGCAGCAGGGACACTAATAAAGTCGAATATTGTGCAACGTGTAAACAAATCTGGATATTTTCCTGTCATTGCTGATGAAAGTACGGATGTGAGTGGTATTGAACAGTTTTCAATATGCGCTCGATTTGTCGATAAAACTGACGAATACAAAATTCGAGAAGACTTTTTGTGCTTTATTCCTGTTGAGACGTTACCGGAATGGGGCTTGCAAATACGATGGAGAACATTGGCATAAACTTGGTCAATATGAGAGGGCAAGGTATGTTAATAATCATTAGGTTATAATTTTATATATTATGTTATGTTATATTTTTTTTTATAAAAATGTTTAGGCTATGACGGGGCGTGTGCAATGAGTGGACAATTCAACGGCTGTGCTGTCAAAGTTCGAGAACTATATCCGGAAGCCATTTACGTCCACTGTGCTAATCATAATTTGAATTTGGCCATAACACATGTGTGCAAAATATCGTTCATCCGAAATTGCATTGGCACAATTAAAGAGGTTGTAAATTTCTTTCGTCTATCTAATAAGGCAGGTCTAGTTTTAAAAGAAAAAATTCGAGCGTCTTGCCCAAGTGCAAAACAAATACGTTTCTTAAATTCTCCGAAACGAGATGGGTTGAGCATTTGGACTCACTCAGTTTGTTCAACGATGTATACGAATATATCTGCTTATCGTTAGAGTACCTGGATGAAAATAATTTGAAAACCATCGGAGTCAAACCTCATGCCCTAGCCTCATCCATACAAACACCACAATTTATTATAGCTTTAACAGTAATAAAGCCGATTTTCCGCATAATGAAAAATCTAAGTGTGTTTTTACAAAAGGAAGATTGTGATCTTAGCTTATGCATTGATTATGCAAATAATGTATATGATGAAATCAATGAGATGCGTCGTGATTCGGACTTGAAATTTAAAAGCTTGTATGCAGCAGCAAAAGAAATGACCGACAAAATGGATATTAATTTAGCATCTCCACGGAATGTTGGAATACAGAAGAACCGAGACAATTACGAAGGCGGTCCAGAGGAATATTTCCGTCGGTCCATTTTTCTTCTTTTTTTGGACCACTTATTAATGCAGGCCTAAAAATAAGATTTCTTGAACACCGGGAACTACTGTCAAAAATTCAAAATATTCTCCCGACTAAGTGCTCTGAGCTGAATACAAAAGAAATCAGTGAAACGGTAAATACTTTTGCAAAATAATGGCCAAAGACATCAAGGGATCTACTGATGATTTTATAGCTGAGATGATCATGTGGCACAGGTAACAAAATATGTAATTTCTTATACACAAAAATATTGTTTGTGATCTACATTAAAACATACAATTCATTGTTGTTTCAGACATTGTTTAAATATGTCAAAAGATAAACGGCCGAAAACATTTATTGAGACTCTCAACAATTGTAATTCTGCATTATATCCATCAATACAAACATTTTTGCAGAATGATGCAACTCTACCCGTTTCTGTGGCAACAAGCGAACGGTCTTTTTCTTGTCTTCGTAGATTGAAACATATCTGCGCAAAAGGACTGGTGAGGAGTGATTAAATGGATTAATGCTATTAAACTTATGCAGAGACTTGGAAGTGACTTGTGAAGAGGTCATTGATATAATGGCAAAAAAATCGAGGAGTATAGACCTTGTTTTATAATTTAAATTGAATTGACAAATTTTCTATCAATCTATGATAATATTATATTGATATGTAATATGTATAATATGTATGATGTGTATAGTATAAGTGTCTAAAACAAATAGTTAAAGTGTAATACAGTATGAATAATTATGATATTAATAAGTACCTACTTTAAATTTTTTCAAACCCTCTTCCCCCCCGAAATTTTTTCCTGCGTTCTCCCCTGTTGTTATATATTATTTTATATTATGTTATTATCATGTTGAATTATTTATATGTAGTTGACATAGAGACGTCTATAGTCAGTTCTACTTAAGTCTATTATCTGTGATATATTGCTCAATACAAATTATTATACATAGAAATTTGTACCAATTATTATTATCTTCCTGACATCGCGAGGTTAGTTGACACTCGAGGTACTTCGTGTTAACTGCCTAGGAAAGAACACGACATGAGCCAACAAAATATCATATTAAACAATTAAATTTATATTAATTATAAAATGATAAGACAAAATATTTAAAAGTTATATTATACAATTCTAGTAATACCAAAGTTGACGTTAAAAAGTTTGCAGTTGGCAGAAAAATAATCACAGAATTCTTAATACGGTTGTTGTCGTTGCGGATTTTCTGCAAATATATAGGTATTAGATTTATTAATTATGCGGAATAGATTGTTCTTAAATAAACTCGTAGAACTCGATTGTATATATCTATGAAGTACATATTTTGCCTTGATCCAGGCCACATGTTATTCAACACAAGGCTGTAATTATATTTACTACGAAAATAGTGGAGCTTTCTATTGTTTTGAGGTACCTAACTATAAATATATTTTATTAATTTCCTGATTTCAATAAATCTTACCAATACATTTTATAAAGACGGAATAATGTTATCGAAAAAAACGCATACAAAAAATATAAAATATTTAACACATAAGACAAATATAAGTGCATTTAGATGATTTGTTTGCGCCGCCAGCACTTGCTTGGGCAGTTTGCTGAGCGACTCGCGGAATGTGTGGGAGTAAAAGGTAATAATATTAAAAAAAACAATGAATATGGTATAAAATAAAATAAAATATAATAACCAGTCTACTGGTACTAAACTAAAATGGTACTAGGTACAACGCCGAAGACGTCTCTTCGGACGATTGCTAATAATATAATTTTACAATCAAAGGCGCAATATGCAAATAAATATGTACAAACACACCATCAAAAAATAAGTATATAACGATACCGCTGGTGCCTGGTCACAGTTGATGGCTGAATCCCACGACGATTGACAGCGATGATAATAGTTTGCGCAATCCAATATTATGCACGCAAAAGTGCGAGCACGTGTAAATACGTACGACGGGTGATGGGAAATCAAACCCGGTACAAGGTACAACGAAAGGTTGTCGGTCGACACACAGGCAACGTGGTACAATGATACAAAAACGACACCCACGGTCGCGGTGAACTATACCGGACGGCGGTGGTAGCAAAAAAGCAAGAAGAAAAAACGACGCCGGACCGCGGAACAACTGGTGGTCAGTGCCCCGGTCGCCAAAAGTTCGCGCAAGCGCACTTCATCGTCTTAAGGCCAGCGGGGTGACAAGACAGGTGTCACACGGGCACACTGCTTGTCGCCTGAAAAACGACTCCGGTTTGAACATAATTCTTATATAGTTAAGTTGTATAATAATATTATTTATTAATTAATGTATTGTGCCAATATAATTGAATTAATACAATATTCGGATGGAGTGGTAAGTTTATCAAAAAATGAAAATAATACAACAGTTTGATTTAATATAGTTTTTATAATGGTGTATTAATTAGGTACATTATATGATAGTAAAAATTAATAGTTTAATTGCGTTTATTTATAAAAGGTACTACATTACGTGATATGTGTTATAAGTTTATAACTACATTAACAGTTATTACTTTTTATTGATCAAAGTAGGTTTGAATTAAATTTAATACTAGAGATTTGAGAATTTTTCATTGTATTTATATGTTTTTGTAATAAAAGTATACAATTCTTGAATAATTAAATGTTTCTCTAATATTATTTTAATCTTGTTTTCATAGTTTTTTAATTTTCTTATATTTTGTTTATTTTATTAGATGCACTGTTCATTTGCATAGACTTTACAGTTACGTCTTTTCTACTCAATATTATCCATAATTATAAATTTTAGGTAAACATGTATGTTGTTTAATAATAAAATTAATATTGTAACTTACAACGTGCTGTAAATAATAACAAAAAACAAAATTTAAATTAATTTAATTTAAATACGGTGGTCTATTATAAAAACTGGGAATCAAACACAGTACAGCCTCATCGGAACACGTTTTATAAATCAATATATAATAGATAAGAATATCTGAAATGTATACTTCTTAATGGAATATAAGCTATAAATATTTATCAACTTGTCGGATAGTATATTTGGGCAGTTTATTTTATTAATATAATATTTTACCTACCTTGCAATACTATTGCATATCTTTTAACATCATAAAATCTAATATGAAAATACATAATTCATTTTTATAATGTGTGAATTTTCAATAGTATTAACATATTTGAATATTTCTAACTAGTATACCTACCTAAAGAAATATTTTCCGAATATGCTATACAGAAAAATCTGGCTGTTCTATAAAACCCTTAAAAAAAAAAAAAAATAATTACAGTTAATAATTAACTAAATTTTTTTATTTTTAGTTGGATATAATATTATACAATATTATATTTTTTTGTATAACTAAATCATAAATTTAGAGCATATTACATTATTATAAATGTTATGTAACGTTTGAGATTTATGTTTTATTATTTTGTTAACAGTTTAATATTAACCTACCGACTTTACTATTAGGTGAATAATTTTTTACAAATAAAGACAATGGATCTGAAATGATTTGGATAAGATTCAAGTTAGTGTTAATTGTTACTTTATAGGTAAATGATATATTTTATATTTACATACATTAATTATATGGAGTAATAAATATACATGAATTATAAAGGCTGTACATTTTAAACATGTTATTATAATATAATAGATCATTGACAATAATATGTAACTTACCTGGTAAATTATTCAATCTTTCCCCTAATTTAATGTAAAATATAAGATATTATTCATTGCGACATTATCTCTTAATAACACATATTATCAAAAAACAATAGGAAGAAATATAAAAGACTTGTGGTGTTTGTAATACTTTAATAGTAATATGAAGAGATGTAGTTACTGAATACCTGTTTCGTACTTATCACACTACGTAGGAAAAAACAACCCATAATTAGATAGTGGGTAGGTCCTGCCACACATTACACACGTTTAAGGCCAAAAAAGATTTTTACAACTATAATATGGCCAGCGAAACTAGGCAGGCGCTAAAATCATCCGCCTAGTTTTACTGGCTATACTATACCTGCAATAACCTACCATCCCTTCTCTTTCTACGATTGTTAGAACTTGTGATCGATATATATGAGTATATGACTAAGAAGTAGATCAATAGTACAATTTATTATGTATTATTCAATGGAAAATTGGTTCCCTATTCATGATGCAGAATTATAATTATAAGTATATAAGGTATAGGTAAGGTTGTTTTCAAATAGTCAAATGTAATAATATATAATAAACCATTAAACCATGTGATAGCTGATAGATGATAAAGTACAATAAAAATGTTTGGAATGTTATGTTTAGAACCAGGTGATATAAATCAAGACGAAGCAAATCATCTGTATCACTATCATCTAAGTGTATGAATTTACATTGTAGCAATCTAGATGTCACTGTAAGTGTTATCATAAATACAGATTTGATTGTATGATTAATGCATGTTTTTATTTGTACTAGGTACATATTGTAATATATTTAATCATCTATAAGAGGTGCGTTACCTTGGCCCCACCTCTTACTTTAAATATATAATAATTAATGTCAAATTATGTAATATCATTTGTAATCATTTGTAACCACCAAAAAACATTTCTAACTTAACCAAAACCTCTCAAAACCAAGTATCTGTGTGTTGGGGCCGTGGTGACGTCACTATAGACCGCCACTACAGAAGTTTGACTTAAAAGTAACTTAAACCTAGTGGAAATTATGTAATATAATTTGTAATAGTATATGGAGTAGTTAGGTTATATTTTATCGTATATTTTGTTGTGTATTAGGCTTTTATATTTAAAACATACACAACCAGTTTACAAAATATGATAAATTGTTGGAAAGAATCATCACTGAATCAGAATAAATATCTTGAAAAGTCCATAATCGATGGTACTTCCATATACCGTTTTGTAGTGGTATTTATGACAGTGCATACCTGATATTTTGATTATAGGAACTCTAGGAATATATTTTTTGTCTTACGTATACTTTAAACTTTTAAACTTTTAAATATCTTTATCCTAAATTCCTAAATTCTTCATATAAATTTGTAATTTTAGTTCATAAGACTATTGTTTGTTACTATAGATACCTAGCTTTATCATATTGTTGGTAAGTGTTGTAACATTTTTATGTACATCATATACTTAACATACTTACTGTTAAATACAATCTTTATCTTTATCTTTATATATTATAAAACGTGAGGCGATTTCTTGAGACAGTTATATCTGAAGTTCTACCGGGCCGATTTTCACAATTTTTTTTTTTAAACAAAAGTACTCGGTGTGTAGATGAGCCATCGGAAGTGAAAAGTCCAAAAAGTTAATTATTTTAATAGTAATTAGAAGTATAAAGTTTGTCGTATTATATATACCTACATATAGGCGGCGGCCCCAGGGTTTCCATAGCTACCTGTAACCTGGCCTTTTTATATCGACATGTAGATATGAATTGTTCCGAAAAGTTGATCGATAAAAGTTATCTCGCACACATAATACAACTACAGAGCAGTGCTGTAATATTGTGTCTTCGTCCTTTTTTTTTGTACCTATCGTTTATTTGTGTTTCTTTTGACAGTTATACATCTTATTTTTTCTAACGCAAGTACTCGGAGCCAGCAAAAGAGTAAAGTCCAAAAAAATAATTATTTAAATAGTTCTTAGAAGTGTAAAGTTAACGATGAGTTTTACCAGTTGTCTCACATGGATCTAGACAGCTTAAAATACAAAACTGTATAAAATATTCTCCGATTTGGCCGAATTTTAAAATTCTTAAACTATTTATAAATAGGCGAGTACACCATAATGAAATTGAATTTTACAAGTTTTTTTTTTTATTGAACCAATAATATAGGCCCTTCTGGCGCGACAATTTTATATATATATAAAAAACAATGATGGTAAACAACTTTTGAATAAAAACTTTGTAATTATATTATTAAGTACTCGATGATATGGTGTCGGAACAACGTACGGTAAGAGACAACATGACGGCGGCCGTGATAATCGTGCGTGCATAGAGCGGCGAGCCGTCGGCGACCGGTTTTACATATTATCCCATTTGCGCCCGGTGACCTATATGTAGTACACCAGTTTTAATAATTTTTATCGAATCTATTTTTAGAATTATTTTCCCCAATCTGTTGTTATCTATTACGTGACAGTATATTATTTATAGAAACACTAATTTCGTTCATTGGAACTGTTATTATTATTGTAAAACAATTTTTGTATAGCAGTGTATTTATCAGTCACCATGGCGTCATTTTCAAAGTAAGTAAAATTTATTTTGTTTATCTATAATTTACATACACTTTTACAAAAACTATTAATTAGTGCATGGCAAACATGTTTTACGAACTGGAGTACACATTTTATTGTTATTTGCTTATTTACTATCATATAAAACATAGTGTCCTAAATAAAGGACACTGGGTACAACAGTTGCTAAAATTATTTTATCATTCATAAATATGTTACAAACTAATAAAGTGTATATAATATATATTTTTACTAGTTTTAGATGCACTATGTAACTATTTTTGTATTTTTAGGGGACTAACTGTTCACGAAGTAACTGAATTATTGGAGCAAGGGGATATCGATGATATTTTGAACGATGTGAATGATATATTTATGGAGCCACCCGCAAACGTCAATAATTATGTTACTGATGAAGATAGTGACGATGAAGGACTGTTAGGTGATATAATCCACATGCCAGCTAGTTTACTAAACGCACATATTGTTATACATACTCCTGATACAGAGGATGCTGAAGTAGCAAACAAAGTAAGTGGTAATAAAACACAAAAAAAACCAAAAATTCGCCTTGGTCGAAAAACAAAAAAAATCCAAGATACCCAACAAACTGTATTATGGCGCCAGGGAGATCTCTAAACCCCAAATATTTTTGTTGATGATCAAAAACCAAATGTATATTATAATACGTTACAACCACGGTTATCTACTCAGGTTAGGAATCGGAGAGAGATAACGCGGACCAAAGCGGTGGATTAGTAAACTATAGCGCTAGTAGTCCTGGTACCATCCGGCAGCCATATTACTACATTATAGTACAAAAAAAAAGGTTGTAACTTGTAGGTATTAATGTATTATACATTTATACATTAATTATTCTCAGTATTCTTGTCTATACTCTATAGTACTGGCGCCTGGCAAATCCCATATTATTATACTTTTTACTATTTTATTTTATATAGCTCGATTTTGAAACATCTACATTATAATATTATATTCCATAAGATGTTAGCAAATACTATTAAGGGGCCTGGTCGCGATTTTTCAAATTTTCCGCAATTCTATAAAATTTGAAAATTAAATTTTATATTTTAGTTACCACCTCAATTATAAGACTTTTCCACTAATCTACTACACAATACTTATTTAGGGGGGGTTGATAGGGTGTATTATATCGGTCAAAACACACTTTACAGGAAAAACTCTCACACCTCGTAGATTGGTCCGATTTCCGTAATTTTTTTTTTTTTGTTAGATAGAAGAATATTTTTTACAGGGCGCATTGACTTTGATTTTTGATCACGTTGCTAAAAATAAATAATAATACAAAAACTAAAAAGTTGTAAAAATGGATTAAATTCAAACTTGTAATATAAGATTTCGAAAAATAATTTTGAACATCCAAGTCCAATGCGCCCTGCAATAAGTTTTCCTCTATTTAACAAAAAAAATTACGGAAATCGGACCAATCTACGAGGCGTGAGAGTTTTTCCTGTAAGGCATGTTTTTGAGCAAAAAAACAGGTCACGACCAGGCCCCTTAAAGGCAACTAGTATCAAAAATCGTGACATAATGTCATGTACGCCCCCTGAACCAGTTATGAACGCACTCTATGCCTCTATATATCTATAGGATTGTAATTAAATATACATACATAGCGCTTTCGAGTATTTGCCGGGTGCTATGTCGTCTACTATTATCATTTTTTGTCCTGTATTGCCATATAATATAGTATTTTATGTTAGTCGGTATGTCTTTCTTTCTTTTGTTTTCTATAGACTGGCTTTATTAAGGTGCGGTATTTTGGAAATGATCAGCGTTGTTTGGGGGAGATTTTGTCTACTTACATCCAGTGGTTTTCTAAATAACCCCCTTCTTCCATAGCCCACTGCTTACACGTTTTCTATTTATACCACCCAGCTAATATTTTAAGTTTAAAAACCCGAATTACCTATAAGAACTTACGGGTTTCAAATCGAAGAACGTTTTGAATTTGAAAACTAAAAAAAAACACTTAATATAGTATAATGCAATGTGTTTTTCAATGGTAGACATGTGTTGCACTTTTTTTGCTAAAAGTGATAAAAAATCTTCATCAAAACCACAAGTACTTTTAAGACAGGAGAGTAGTTGACGAACGGTTTTTGGATGAGGAAGAGGTAAAAGTTGACTATCGCGTAAATATTTATAAGCCCCGGGTGATCTAATATTAAATAATAGACAAAGCATTAGCCAATTTTCACTATATCTCCGACTCTTGGTATTTTTAGTTTTGCTGGCTGCAAAACATTCTTTAATTAATGTTTTTTGTGACTCATTAATACCACTCATATTATTTAATTGTTCTTCAATCTTTTTGTCACAAAATGTTGCCATATTTTTTTTTTATACCCCGACGTGCACCCAACTACACAGCACCGGCCCATGCCTTATAAGTTATAACTATTCAGTATTTTTTATTTAAAACAGTTAGTTTGTAACAATACCTACTTTTATATAGTTTTACACTATTAAATTTTGGATTACGTCTTTCACAGTTTCACAGAAAAATAGTAAATCGCGAACAAAACGTTTTTTAATTTTGGATATACGCACGCTAACGAACAATGTAAATACGGATTACTGAATATTGATGGTACCACGACTACTAGCGCTGTTAACTCGCAGTCACGCCACGGGGCCGTGGCTCGCAATGAATAAGCATACGCCGATTCCTAACCTGAGTAGATAACCGTGGTTACAACCCTACGAACTATTTGAGCTTTTTTTCGACCAACAAGTGTTGGAAATGATTGTGGATTATTCAAATACCTATGCATCTAATAAAAACCAAACACTTCAAATTGATATAAATGAACTGAAGTGTTTTTTAGGTATCTTGTTGTTATCAGGTTATAATGAAGTATCACGAAGACGTATGTACTGGGAAAAATCACCAGATACACATAACAACTTGGTGTCAGATGCAATGCGACGAAATCGCTTTGAGCAAATTTTTTCAAACATTCATTTCTGTGATAATAGTAAGCTTGATGAGCATGATAAATTTTCCAAAATAAGACCATTAATTTCTATGCTGAATTCAAGATTTTTGATACACGCACCACACCAACAATTTCATAGTATAGATGAATCAATGGTTCCTTACTTCGGCAGACACGGTTGCAAACAGTTTATAAGGGGCAAGCCTATTCGTTTTGGTTTCAAAATTTGGATTGGGACACTAAGATTAGGCTATGTGGTCTGGATATCTCCCTACCAAGGCAAAAGGGGTGATCTTCAAAATACTGAGTATGGTTTGGGTGCATCAGTTATCATTTCGTATGCAAATAATTTATTGACACACCGTATAGCTCCATACCATTTGGTGTTTGATAATTTCTTCACTGGTTTACCTTTATTAGAAAAGTTAAGTGAAATGGGTTTGTATGGAACAGGGACAATACGTTCAAATAGAACAAAGAAATGCCCAATCAACTTGGTTGCAATGAAAAAAATAAAAAGAGGTTCATATGAAAGTTATGTTTCCGATTCTGGTATTTTGGTATGTGCATGGAAGGACAATAGCACTGTTACCATAGCATCCAATAATGTCGGAGTTGAGCCAATCATGGCTGCAAAAAGATGGTCTGTTTCAGACAAAAGAAGTATAAGAATACCACAACCAAAAATTATACATTTGTACAACCAAAATATGGGTGGTGTTGATCGTATGGATCAAAACGTTTCTCAGTATCGTATTTCTATTCGTGGTAAGAAATGGTATTCATGTATAGTATTGTACTGTATTGATTTGGCTGTATAAAATGCTTGGCAGTTGCATAAACTCCATACTGAAAAACCAATGGACCTTTTAGCTTTTCGTAGACACATTGCGACTTATTATCTACAAAAATTTAACACAGCACCAACTCGTGGACGTAAAGGTGGAAAACCATCAAATTATATTCCTCGATATGATGGTGCAATGCATTACTTAGTTCCGCAAGAAAAACAAACAAGATGCGCAGAATGTCATCAAAAAACTACTTCCAGATGTATCAAGTGTGATGTTGGAGTGCATTTGAAGTGTAATATACAGTTTCATACATTTAAACAATAATAATTTATAAATTTTATAAGTACAAATATGTAATAACCATGTTCAATTATAATTAAAAGAGTATCAATTTTTTTTTTATATATTATACCTGATTTTCCCACTGTCCTACATATAGGACACCTTTTATCTACTAAGTTATGATTTAACACATTTTTTTTAAATTTTTTTTTGTTTCCCTAGACCAATAGTAGTAGGAATAACTCGAAAAAAAGTAAATTAAAAAAAATTTTTAACCTTGGGCATGAATGGGTTATATAACTCACAACACAATTAAATACAATAATAACGAAAATGAAAATCAATGCAATATTATAATTTAAATAAAAACAAATAATATGTTGTGTGCATGTATGTGTGTGTACACCACCGGCTGGTGGCATACTTACGGCTAATGTGCCGTCGTGGCGGCAACAACATGGCTAATAGGTTGAAAAATAATATCGTACAAGCTGTACTGCAATTCAATCATGGATTTATAAATCTAAATTCATAGCTCATATTATAGCATTATAGTAACACATAGTCAAACAGACGAATATTTCATCAGCCCCCCCCCCCCCAAATATAATTTTTGAAAATGTTTTTTTGCCACACATTATTGTGCCATTAGTGTGAATTTGTGTGATTATTTCCAGAATTTGTGCGATACTGGTTTAACCGTAAATTCAAAAATATATAAGGGGGACTGGTAAAATGTTCCCCAGTCCCTCTCATGGTAAAAATTACAATTTTAGAATTTTTCTTTTGCCAAACATTAGTGCGCCGCCTACCAGGTAGGTAGATAGATGATTTCAATTTATTATGTTGTGCTATTATTTTAGTCCTTTGTAACATGTCATAGAATTATTACTATAACAATTCGGCTACATAATTATTATCGATAGTATCTACTAAAATCACTAAAATCGATGAACTATATTGTATAATAAACCATTGCGCCCACTGGTTATGAAGAATTTACAGACTATTTTTTAGATAATTATATTTCCGAAAATTCTAAATTCCCTCCTCATGTTTGGTCTGAATGTTCAAATACATAGAATGACAAATGCATGTGAAGCTTTTCACTCGAAATTTAATTAATATTTTAATTCTAGTAATCTGCATATTTTTCAATTCATTGACGTCTTAAAATCATTCCAGATTAATAATTACGTATTAATTAATAGCATAGTACTACAAAAAAAGATTACAGAAAAATAAAAACATTTAAAATTAGAATACTTAACAAAACAAATAGAAAGTTAAAAAAAAAGAAAATGTCGACATTAAATTTAATTATTAGTGTTTCATTTAAATTTCAACCAATATAAAATAAACATACATAAGTATACTACATAATATGACATTTTTATATTATTATTACGAGTATTATTGCAATTATTATTTTGAATTATATTTGAATTGACAAAATTATCATTAGTATGACAAAATGTAAAACATATGAATTATTATATTATGTACAATTGTATACCTAATTCACTTATTACTTATACTTCTATTACTTAATTCTTTCTTTTAAATAAAACAAAGTACCAACACAACTTGAATTTGTATTGTCCTACGATTTGTTTAATGTTACAATGTAATACTCTGTGCTCCTCTTCACCATGTATGGACTTTCTTTAACCATATATAGAAACTATAGTCTATATTATGGTCATCGCCAGTGGCGCAGGAACTATTTTTCATGAGGGGGCAAGACATAAAAAAACCTAACAATTATTATATATTTATTTGTGATTGTTTTCGGTTTGAAGAAGTCTTTGATATTTTTTGGGGGATTGGGAATCGCCATTGCAGAATGCAGGTATGTGGAACGTATTTAAACAATTAAATTTAGTTACAACAAACAATTATACTGGTGACACTACGACAGTCGACAGCGTACTCATTTATTAGTGGTGATCAGTAATCACTAATTGCCAATCGGAACCTAATCGTAAACGACGTATATAAGCTGTAAAAACCTATATCTATATAGATATTCCAATAACAAACAATATGGTATGTTGTGAGAACACTATAGTGGCTAGTCGAGGAATTTCCCAATATAAGTTGATAAAGCAATCCGACAAAAAATGTCTATAAGATTTACTCAGAATGTTTGTTATGTATTTTTTTAATTTTTTTAAAATTTTATTTAGCCTTTATACAAATTTGGCTCAACAATTAAAGTATCTTACAACTAAACAAAATAAAATAAACAATAGGTATACAAAATTTTTGTTACAAAAACCATCTATAAAATATATATTGTTTATAAAGTATTATGTTATAATAATAAATAATAAATCGATAATAATAATAATAATACTATTGTAACAATCTGACTACGTTCGTTTGATGGTGATGAGAATAAATGAACAAGAGTTTGATTTTTCTTTGTAATTTGAATACTTTTTATTTAATTAATACAAAACACGAATATAAATTTCCATATGTAGTTAATTGTCTTGTTTTACTTTTAGTTATTAAAAATATTATAAATCTATTGTCGAGCCTAACTTTTGTTATTTCACCTACTTGTTTATTTGATTTTAAAACTATATCATCTCCAAATTTTTGTTTTATTTCGTAATTAGTTCCTGTTCTAAAATTATAATATTTTTCTATTTCAGTTACTATATTGTATTCCGGTGGTGAATCTAATAATTCCCCATTTACTTCTTTTACATTGCTGTTAGTTATTAATGTGGACTCAAATTTTACTAAAAAATTATTGTAACTTTCTTCTTTAATTTCTTTAACTGTAAACATTCTAGACAAAGCATCTACATTACCGTTTTGCACTCCTGGCTTATATTTTATAACATAATCATACTGTTCTAACTGTATTCGCCATCTAGCTAACTTTGATAACGGATCTTTTAAATTAAATAACCAAGCTAAAGGTCTATGATCGCTTAAGATAGTAAACTTTCTTCCATACAGATAAGGTCTAAATTGCTTTATTCCATATACTATAGCTAAACATTCCAATTCAGTTGTTGAGTAATTTAGTTCACTCTGACTTAAGGTCCTAGAAGCATAAGCTACAGGTAGATCTTTACCTATTTCTCCTTGTGATAGTATTGCTCCTAACGCCTTTCCACTAGCGTCTGTGGTCAAAATAAATTCTTTTGTAAAATCGGGGTACTGTAATACGGGTTCAGTGCATAATGCATGTTTTAATTTACCGAAAGCTCTATCACACTCTTCATTCCAATCAAACTTTACGTCTTTCTTTAGTAAATGCGTTATAGGTTTAGCAATCCTACTATAATTTTCAATAAATTTCCTATAATATCCTGATAATCCTAGAAATGATTTAATTTGTTTAACATTTTTGGGTTCTGGAAAATCTAGTACAGCTTGGATTTTCTTAGGGTCTGGTCTTATACCTGTTTCTGATATGACATGACCTAAATATAAACATTCTCGTTTTACAAACTCACACTTATCTGGTTGTATTTTTAAATTATGTAATCGCAATCGCTCAAACACATCTACTAGCTTATTATTATGATCAATTAGATTTTTTCCATATATTATTATGTCGTCGAGATATACTAAACACTTTATTCCTATTATCCCAGATAATACATTATCCATTAGTCTTTGAAATGTAGATGGACTAGTTTTCATTCCCATTGCCATTCGTTTAAATTGAAAATGTGCGTTATTAGCTGAAAAAGCTGTAAGTTCACGTGAGGACTTAGCTAAAGGAATCTGAAAAAACCCCGAGGCGAGGTCGATCACACTGAATAATTGACATTGTCCTAAGTGATCTAAGATTTCTGTAATATTTGGTAAAGGGTGAAATTCATTTAGTGTTACTTGATTTAATTTTCTGAAATCTATGACAATACGAAACTTTTCTTTACCACTGGCATCGGCCTTTTTCTTTACTAATAATAAGGGTGCATTCCACGGTGAACTAGAGGGTTCTATTATTCCATCTTGTTCCATTTTGTCTAATTGATTCTTAATCTCAGTTTGTTGTGAGTGAGGTAATCTATAGGGTCTTTGATAAATAGGTTGCTGATTATGATTTAAATTAATAACATGCTCCGCAGCATTCGTAAAAGTTAACCGATCTCCCTCCAAATGAAATATTTCTGCATATTGTTCACATATCTCAAATATAGATTGTTTTTCCTCAACATTCATATGATCACTTCGTATTAAATTCAAAATTCTATTCACTCGATTTTCATTATTATTATCAGTATGTATTTCGTGTATACTATAATTTTTTGATGGTTCATATAATATTTTATTAATAGTACTTTCATTTATTTCTTTTGTTACTTCTGATACATTTAATATACTAATTATTATTTTCCCTGACCTTACTGTTCCCATTACGTTGGCACAGTACACGTCATTAATCAATTCTTGTTTATAAATTACAATATTTTTATTTTCCATAGTAGTGTCGGCAATCGGCACGTTAACTACTGTTTCTGTTCTTGGTTTTAACGTACAACTGAAATTATCTTTATTAATTAACTTATCATTTATTATTAACGAATTATTAGCTACATCTATAATTGCTTTATTTTTTATTAAAAAATTATGTCCTAAAATACTATCCTTTGGTATAGGAAACGAGTTTTTTACCACTTGAAATTCTGTCTCAATATCATTATTATCAAAATTTAAAATTATCTTTACTAATCCTACTGTTGGCACTATATTATCATTAATTCCCTTTAAATATATTCTTTTATTTTCGTGTACAAGTGTTTCTCCTGTTAAAACGCCAAATTTTATTAAATTAACTTCACTTCCAGTGTCTACTAATAATTCAGTGAAGTCTCCCTTTAATTTGGCAGATTGACAAGTGAGATGATTGTTATTTAAGATTGATACGTTGTATAAGCATCGTTTTGTTCCTCCTCGACAGTTGCTATTAAATTTATCGGTCGAGCACCACTTGTCTCGCCCGATCTTGGCAAGTTTCCCGAAGCGTTACGATCATTATTTTGTTTTTTATAACATGTGGAGATGTCTTGTCCATTCATTTTACAATACGTACAAGTGATAATTCCTGGAGAATTATAATTAGTTGGCTGTCGCGTATAGTTATTTTGAGTATTAGGCGGTCGCGTAAAATTATTGTTAGGCGGTCGCGTATTATTATTTCGTCGTATATTACAATCGCGTGCGTAATGATTTCCTCCACACTGATAGCATTGGATATTATTATAATTATAATTATTTGTATTTTGCGGCGAATATTGATTATTTTGCATATTATTTCTGTTATTTCGATTCACATCCGGTCTATATTGCGGTCTAATAAAATTATTATTATTTTTTCTCGGATTAAAATTTTGTCGCTGATAATTATTATTATTGAAATTATTATTATTACGTCGGTTATAATTATTATTATTATTATTTCTATTTTGATTACCATAGTATTGATATGCATCCGACTCTGATTTCAATTCGGTTTCCTCATCTTTGGCTATTTGCATTGCCAATTCTAAAGTAGGTGGATTACGTGATTTTACTATTGTTTTTAAACTAGGTGTTAAACCTTTTATGAATACTACCAATGTTTGTTCTTTTAGTTGATCCCGTAATACTGTGGCTTGATCTGTTGTTTTGCCCTTAGTACTTGCTACGCATAAGTTAAAATACAATTGTTCTACGCGTCTAGCATATGAACTAACATCTTCGTTAGGTCGCATTCGTACGGAATTTAATGCTACCTGTAATGTCGACGTTGAACTTTGTGGTTCGAATGCGTCCAATAAAATTAATTTCACTCCTTCCCAATCTGACATATCCCTATACCTACATACGTTTAGGGCCTGGTCAAATAATTTTGTATTTATGAATTTCATTAATATAGGTAGATCATCTTTGTCTACCGCTCAACCGCTGAAAATGCTAAATCACATGCCTTTATGAATTGATACACGTCTCTTTCTCCTGTACATGTGGGAATCATAATAGTGGCTTTTTCTAACGGAAGTTTGGTTCCAGACATTTTGATTTTCGGTTTTCGTGTAAGGGGTTCTAATTGAATATGTTCTATTCCTTTCTTTGAACGAGTGCCTATTTGTCGTAATTCAGTTTCGTTAACTATTATAGGTCGGATACTTTTATTATGTAACTCTTTTTCTCGTATAGATTCCAAATATTTTTCCTTATTTAAATCTACCGAATATTGATATCCCTCGTCTGTACTTAAATCAATTAATAATTCGTTACTTTCTATTGTTTTATCGTTACTTTTATCGTCAATATTTTTTATTTCACTAATATTATCGCTTATTACTGCTTCGTCAATTATTTCTTTATTTTTGGTTTCCTCAACCTCTTTAACTTCTATTACTAAATTTTTATTTTCACTTATCTTATTTTTATTTCCTTGACTCATTAAATTAATTTATTCATTAAATTTAATTTAAATCGTAATATTTTCCACGATTTTTTTTTTATTTTAATACGTACTAACAAATACAACTTTACTTCTAATTAATTCAATAATTTTTATATTTTTATTCCTTATACTTCAATAACTTGTCATTCAATTAATTTAATTTAATTATCTAATTTAATTTTAATTACTTATTCTTAAAATATTTTATTTTTTATTTTTTTATTAGGACTTATTACGGCCTTACAAATTTTTCTAATTCACACTTAAAACTTCAATATAATTTTCAACATATATTTAAGGACTTATCACGGCCTTATAAACTCAATTTAATTTATTCAAATATCTCTCAATAATATCTAAGGACTTATTCCGGCCTTAATAACTTCAATAAAATTCTTTATAATTTTTCACCAAAAGGACTTATTCCGGCCTTTAATTAATTAACTCGTAGGACTTATACTTGCCTAAATTCACAACAATAAATTCAATATTCTCAATAATGAAGGACTTAGTTCTCGGCCTTTAAATAAAACTCACAAATATAAACTCAATAAAAATTTCTCAAATTAGGACTTACCACTCGGCCTATAAAATTCAACAAAAATTAGACTTCAACTTGTCTAATAAAATTCAAAACACAAGGACTTACTACACGGCCTTAAAAATTCCCCAATAAAATAGACTTCAAATTGTCTAATAAATTCAATACACAAGGACTTACCACACGGCCTTTAAATAAAATACTCAATTAATTCCCAATAATTCACAATAAAATTCTTTTAAATTCTCAAATATATTCACTAAAATTATTATTTTTTTTTTTAACAATTCTCAATTTAATATCTCTTATTCTCTTTAATATAACTCTTATTAAATTCCCAATATAATTCTCAATAATATTAACTTTATTCATTAATTTATTCATTAATTTATTTTTTTTTTTTAACTTTATTCCTAACACAATTTAATTTTATTAACAACGCAAAAAGTTTTTAGAAATATTTAAATTTAGTATTTATTTGTATTCTTTTGTTTAAAAAAAAAAATATTTAATTTAATTTAATTTATTGAAATATTATTTTTTTATTTTATTTGTTATATTTTAAATATATATTTATTTTTATTATTATTTTTTTTTTAAATTCTGATTTATATTATAAGAAATTATTGTGATTATTGTTTATTCTTATGATCGATAAATAATTTCAACTAAATAAAATATAAATACTTAATATTTATATTCAAATGCTATAATTTTACAACTTTTATTTGCGTGCTATTAAAATATACTATGGTCATAAATATACCATAGGAGACGGACAACAAAATTATTCTTAAATTCCAACTTATAATTAATACTTACACCAATGCAGCTGATACTTGATTCATGGTATGTGTAGTTGGTACCTCCATGTGATTTGACTTGGAACGTAATCGATGTTGCTGACAGGATTCTGTTGCGGAGTTGTTGGTAGTTGATCAGACTTCCAACGATGATCCAATTTGATTGAATTGCCTCCTCGAATTAATTTGGTTAGAATATTTTGAAATAATTCAAAAATATTCGTTTCCAAAAATTTTTTCTTTTTGCAAACCCTGTCCACAGCGCCAATTGTAACAATCTGACTACGCTCGTTTGATGGTGATGAGAATAAATGAACAAGAGTTTGATTTTTCTTTATAATTTGAATACTTTTTATTTAATTAATACAAAACACGATAAATTTACTAAGTCCAAAATGACTATTTTAAATAATGAAGACTAGCGAGATGTGACTTTCATATATTAGCTCCTAGCTCTTCGTTGGTGTTAGTTCGCCTAGTTCGATGTCGTTGGTCCGTCTAGTTCGGTGTTGTTAGTCCGTCTAGCTCGGTGGTGTTAGTCCGTCTAGCTCGGTGGCGTTAGTCCGTCTGCCGAAGCCTATTCGTGCTACGTATTATGATGGCTATACTTGGATCATATCCCTGCCTATTATCCTACTACTTGACCATATAAGGTCATACCGTGGGCGGCCACGCGCTGCACACGCCGGATGTCCCTTGCTTATCTGGTCGTTGTCATCTCTACAGAGGCAACACAACACTTTTAGTGTGAACTATTTTAATAATATTCATATAAGTAGTTATATATCTATGAACATATACGTTTCGAGGTCACGCGCAATAGATGCGTCGTAGGCCTCCTTCAGCATATCGTGTTTCTTCTGTATATTTAGAACTACTGGAGGGATTCACTGGAATGATTATTTATAATATGTAAAACATAGTCACAGCTTGCTACACTATTATGGCGCATATTCATGAAAATGAGACCAATTTTGTATAAGTAAACGTCTAAATTAAACGTATTACGTAACTTACGAGTATACTCTTTAATTTTAATGTAGTAGGGGAGGGGCAAAAGTATACTTTGGCCTCCTTGGATTATATCCTAGGGGTCAATTGCCCCCTCTGCCCCCTTCTTCGACGCCACTGGTCATCGCGAACTAAGAAAACATTGAGAATAGATACCTACTAGTGTAGGTAATGCTACTGATTAAAGAATCATCGAACTAACAATTGAATGGGACTTAGCGTCTTTACCGTAAGTTTTTTGTCGTGTCATATACTATTCGATATGAAATCTGTTGCGTACGCGGGATATTAATTGTATTTATATAAAACAAAATTTCTAAATCAGATAAGATACGTCCGATACAGCGGTCTTCGACGGCGGACGATCGGCCGTTCATTCGCGATAAAACCGAACTGATGTGATGTACGTGTCGTAACCGTTCGAATGTGAATCAAAAATAAAAGTAAAATAATATTAATTGAGTTAATTATTTAATTTAACGAAACCCTGAGCTAACGAAACAAAATTTATAATTTATTTTTATTATTATTTATTCATGTAATTTAACAATTGACTTATTATGATATATTTATAATTAATTAATATTTGAATTTTAAAGTTAAATGCATTTAACGTTTTTTGTAATAATATTCAGTATTCGATATGATGATATCTATAAATTATTTTTATTATTATTTCTTCATTTAATGTTACCGACTCATTGCTGTTAATTTTAAATTTATTTATTCCAAGTCGTACTTATACACGAGGTTACTTGACACGAAATAATCACAATATTGTATTTAACAGTACTTAAGTATGTAAAGTATACGATATACATAAAAATGTTAAACACTTAGGTACCAACAATATGTCACCACGGCCCCACCACACAGATACTTGGTTTTGAGAGGTTTTGGTTAGGTTACAAATGTTTTTTTGGTGGTTACAAATGATTACAAATGATATTACATAATTTGACATTATTTATTATATATTTAGAGTAAGAGGTGGGTCCAAGGTAACGCATCTATATATTCTATAAGCACAGTATGTCAGTATAAACATTATACAATACCTATTAAAATTAAACGTAATAAATTAATAAATAACTAGTAATGTATACTCACGTAATTTGGTGATTCTGTGAAGACAATTATTGTTTTGAACAAAGTAGTTAACTAAAAAAAGATAAATTGTATTATACATAAATATCAATTTGTGTTTTTTGTACGTTATTACAACGTAATTAGGCACAATGTATTAAAATATATAATAATATTAAAATTATTAATTTAGCCTGAAGTAATGAAGTATGACCTTCAGTTTTCAATAATTGATCGAATAACTGATCAAAACGACTTTTACTCGAATTATGGAGTGTAAAAATCTCAATGGCTGAAAAATGTCTAGATAAGTCAATGATAAGTCAACTACAACTCCAAATGAATGAATGGAAAATTTAAAAGGAAAACTTAGTTATGTATCATAACTCAATAGCTTATAGGACCTAGGTGTGATGTAAATATAAATACAAGTCAGTGGCAACAAAAAATCGGTAAAATTATTATTGTTTATTGAATAGTCGACTTTTATTGTTATTTGTTGATACATATTATACATTATCTCAACCACAATAACAATTCACTTAATACAGGTACAAAAAACATTATCATCGCATCGCTATTAGGAGACAAAATTAAGATTCATAAATCAACTACAAAATAGAAATTAAGCTATGAATTAATTCTGTACAAGTTAGTTTTCTTTTTAATCCTCTAAAGTGCTATAACATTTTTTTTGAACGGGCAGTAGCTCCACATCCCTAGCGATGTTAGATGAATACTAAATTTATGGTAGGCCACACCTGTAAAATTTGACTTCGACTTCTACTTATGTCTTATATACTATAGGTACTACTAACTTTCAGAGAAACTTTTTTGTTTATCACTCTTTATTCTTTTTTTTTGATAAATTAACTACTTAAGCTGTATAACAAAATAATATAATACTTATGCTATATTATTTCAATTTTAATTATTGTTTTTATTGTGTATATGTTTAAATAAATAATTTGTACTTTTTCCTTTTTTCCCTTCAGATTTTACGATTGTTAAATAATGAATATAATGAATGATAAAACTCCAATTTCACCAATACGAGGATAAACCTTAGTGAAGAGTTGGGTCAAGATTATCAGAGATGGCGAACCTATCATATTCCTCTTACACTCTTTTAGTAACATACTCAACTTGTTTTTTATCATTCAACTATTCAAGCCATGGACGTATCAATTTCTTAAGTTTAAAAATATGGTCATTAGATTTGTTGACACCCAGGTTAAATAAAATCCAACTAACATTTATGTTTGACACTTGGGTACAGAAAGGTTCGCTTTCCCTGCCATGTATGGTTAATTACTATTTTAGAAATTAAGTGTTCTTGTTTAGACACTATAATTACTATTTAAACAGTTTAAAATTGTTAACGTATGTTCACATGTGATGTATGTTAAATGCAGGGCCGGC